GGCACTATAGTGCTAGGAAAATGAGTATGTTTTCCTGGCACTATAGTGGTCCTTTAAGTTTGGTCTCCAGGGATGTATAAGCTTCTGCTAAATTATTGTGTGCGTCCACAATCTCTTCCGTCCTTTCCTCAAGGTGCACCATCCGGTCCCCCAGGGATTGGATATCCGCTCTGATATCTGCTGCTATTTGTAGCAAGTCTGTGTGAAAGTTATGTTTCAAATCTACCAGCATAGCTCGTATGGTAGCATTTGTGTGATTAGGGTCAGATGTGCTGTGTGCACTTTCGCTGAGGTCTGAGCATGAGGCTGGTGACCTGGTGCCGTCGGCGCCATCTTGGATTTCAGGTCCTGTTTTCTGCATTTGTGTTAGGTGCATTTGTATCGAGCGCTGCTTAAATTTTTTGCTTGATTTTGCTGCCATAGGTGTGCAGCGTTGATACCTGCTTGTGGTGTTATTGTGCCTGGGATGGATGCTGTAAAACACACTGTAAACACCAAAGGTTGGAGGAGCTCAGGAGTTACACGTCTGTGCTCGTTCTCCGCTAAGCCACGCCCCCCACCGTGTACTCCTTATTTTAAATACACATTATGAAATGGATTCAGGGGACACAAACTGTATTTGTGCCAATATAAACTACAATGGATATCTAGTCCTCGTGTTATCCTTAAAAAAAAAAATAAAAAAAATAATTAGATCAACTCTAAAATATTTTCCAACAAAAAGAATTCAGTAAACTCTCAAACTCACTAGCTCCAAAGTCTGTTTGATTTAGTTTGTTGTGTAAATCAGTTGGTCCCAGCATCACCATTAAACTGTATAAATGTTTAGGTAAGTGCATTTCTTCTGCCTCAAATCATATTTCCAGTGACATACTTTGATAACAATCTCTATAAGACAATAATCATAGTTGAGTAGTGTACACAATGAGTTGACTTTTTTTTTCAAAGAAAAAGTCACAGAGGTCAATGAAGATGTTTAAACGGACACTGTAGGCACCCAGACCACTTCAGCTAATTGAAGTAGTCTGGGTGCTGTGTCCCTTTTGCACTTAGTGCTGCAATGTAAAACATTGGAGTTCCAAAGAAACTGCAATGTTTACATTGCAGCTCTAAGTCTGCCCTCTGTGGCTGTCTAACAGACAGCCGCTAGAGGGCATCCGGAATCTAAACGGATTTTGGTCCATTATATTACATAGTTACATAGTTACATAGCTGAAAAGAGGCTTGCATTCAGCCTTCCTCACATATGTTTTTGCTGTTGATCCAAAAGAAGGCAAAAAACCTAGTCTGTAGCGCTTCCAATTTTGCAACAAACTTGGAAAAAATTCCTTCTTGACCCCAAAATAGCAGTCAAATGTCTCCTTGGATTAAGCAGCTATTACCCCACTAATTAGAAATTATATCCCTGTATGTTATGTTCTTGCAAGTATTTATCCAATTTCAGTTTAAACATCTGTATGGACTCTGATAAAACCACCTCTTCAGGCAGAGAATTCCATATCCTTACTACTCTTACTGTAAAAAAAAACTTTTCTTTGCCTTAGATGAAATCTCCTTTCTTCCAGCCTAAATGTGTGACCTTGTGTCTTATTTATAGCCCTGTTTATGAATAGATTTCCAGATAATGGTTTGTACTGGCCCCAAATATATTTGTATAATGTTAACATATTCCCTCTGAGGCGCCATTTTTCCAAAACAAAGAGATTTAAATTTTTTAACCTTTCCTCGTAACTAAAATGCTCCATACCTTTAATCAATTTTGTAGCTCGTCTCTGCACTTTTTCTAGTGCCACAATATTCTTCTTTAACCCCTTAAGGACACATGACATGTGTAACATGCCATGATTCCCTTTTATTCCAGAAGTTTGGTCCTTAAGGGGTTAAAACAGGTGCCCAAAATTGCACAGCATATTCAAGGTGTGGTCTTACCAGCGATTTATAAAGAGGTAAAATTATATTTTCATCCTGAGAATTTATGCCCCTATTTATACATGACAAAACCTTACTGGCCTTAGCAACTGCAGATTGACATTGCATATTGCCGTCTAATTTGTTGTCTATAACAATTCCCAAATCCTTCTCATGTATGGTTATCCCTAATTCACTACCATTTAGGGTGTAAGTTGCTTGTGCATGCTAGACCCCCAAGTGCATAATTTTCCCCACAGGAAAGCATTGAAAAATGCTTTCCTATGGGGAGGTCTAATGCTCGCGGCCATTGCCGCGCATGCGCATTAGATCTCCCCTGCCAGATGACGTCGGCAAGGGAGGAGCATGGGCAGAGCCTGACCCATTGCCAAGGGACATCAGCGCTAGATTCAGGTAAGTAGCTGAAGGGGTTTAAATCCCTTTAGCGACGTGGGATGGGGGCAGGAGGGAGGGAGCACTCCAGGATTCTCTAGTGCTAGGAAAACGGATTTGTTTTCCTGGCACTGGAGAATCCCTTTAACATTTTGCTGTAAACAATAAATATAAAATTATATTTAACAGTAATAATTTGAAAAACTCTCTCAACTACTACAGAGACTATCAGATAACATAAGAGGAACATTTTGTACATTTGTTCTCAATTTCTAAAACAATAATCATAACTTAAATCCTTACTTTGCTAAGGGTTTTATTATAACTGTATCCCGGGTGTTGTTAATTAAGTTTGCTCATTAAATCAAATTTAAGGTTTCTTATTAAACCACAATTCTTTACTGTATTATAATTGCTACATGGTGTACATGGTGTAGCACTTTATTTTAATAATTGCATGGTATGCTATATAGAAATTGAGTTAAAATTATGTGTGGATCTGTATAAATGATTTTTTTTTTAAAACTCCTTTAATTGTTTATATTGGTTATGCAATGGGTGATGTTCTGACACATAAGACCACAGGAATTAAATTGCTCATTTTTATTCATAATAACATATTTGTCTCTAGCACTATGTGAAATTTTAAATTACTTAAATATTTCTCTAACTTTCTCAAATCTAATAGCTATATTTCAAGATCATGGCAAAAGTTTAGTATTAAAAACAACATGAGCCTCAATGAGATGCTCAGTTTTAACTTTTGATAGATGTAGCAGACAGATAATTGATACTGAAGTTTGGCAAAAGTCTACTTTTTGAAAGAATGATTTATGTAATATAAAAAGATGAGTAGCACTATTTTGAATTAATGTAGCTGTGAGATTATTACTAATTGCTGTATATTCACATTTATTTATTTATGCAATCTCAATATGTGCTTTAGACTAGCAAGTCAGGACAGTGGTAATTAATTCTTATATAGTAAAATAAAATTAAGTGAATAATACTTGCTTGCTAATGATAGCTGTTAAACATTACCAAACTTTGTACTCGTTTGTCACATTCAGTAAACGCTAAAATGGATGTTGCTAGTGTTGCAATTACCAACCGTTTCCAACCGTTTCCATGATAAAAAGTTTAGCATTTAACGATTCCTGCAATCGCCAAAGTTTTAACATCTCTCACAGCGATTAATAGGAGATAATCTCATGTTGCTAGATTTTTAGCCACCTGTTTCTATGTGGCTAAAAATTGTACCTACAGTTGTCATCAAAATTATTCAACCCCCCTCCCCCCCATTTAAAATCAGGTTTATTGTCAACATTTACAGATTTCAGCTGGTTGCAATAAACAAATCAAACACATGAAATTGAAATAGTTTCCCCAAATTTAACTTAAAATGCAACTTATAATGACTTTTCCAGTCTCAACATTATTCAATGCCTTCACGGCAAGCATCTTTAGTACTTAGTAGAGCACCTTTTTGCTGTTATGACCTGCTGCAAATGAGATGCATAGTCAGACACTAGCTTCTGGCAGTGTTTCTGAGGAACCTTAGCCCATTGCTCACAATAATTGGTTTCCAGTACTGTAATATTCTTTTGTTTGATTGCTGCAACTGCCTTCTTCAAATTCCCACAGAAGGGGTTCAAGTCAGGTGACTGTGATAGCTACTGTAGAATTTTCCAGGACTTCTGCAACCAAGCCTTGGTGGAATTTGAGGTATGCCTGGGATCATTGACTTGTTGGAAGGTCCAGTGATCCCCAAGCTTCAGCTCCCCCACAGACAGCATGAGGTTTGCTTGCCTTCCACACTGTTTTTCTCTGCATTGTTTACTATTTTGGAGTGCAAGGACTTCTCCTTTAACCCCTTTAGGACAGCTGACAGTTCAGGACCGTCAGCAGTAAAACGTGCGTTTGGACCGCTGACGGTCCTGAACCGTCATAGCGAAAAACGGGCTGAGGGAAGCGATCAAAGATTGCTCCCGCCGGTATAACACTGTTACTATCTGCCAGACATCCCAGGCAGATAGTAACAGCCAATTGCGGTGTGTGAGCGATCCGCGATCGCTCACAATTGGCTGCTGTCAAAGTGGGTGTTACAAACACTCACTTTGACAGTGATCTCTGCTCCTCTCTCCTCTGTAGCGTTTTGTGAGGCGAGAGAGACAGAGATCGTGATAGTTTGTTGCAGCAGTGTTCAGTGACCATCAGAAAGTATCAGTATTTTATTTAAAAAATCACCTTTTAACCCCTTCCCTGCCAGATCTGTTACAGCAGTGCATTTGTACTGTCTTTTTGCCCTTAAAGGGTTAAATTTGTTTTAAAAATCTGTGTATTGGTCTGTCTTGGTCTGTTTTGGTCTGTCTTGGTCTGTCTTAGTCAGTCAGTTTCCTTCCCCCAAATCTCCATTAGATTTTTGTGACAGGAGTTATTATTATTATGATATTTATAGAGCGCCGTCAAATTCTGCAGCGCTTTACAATGGGTGGACGAACAGACATGTAGTTGTAACCAGACAAGTTGGACAAACAGGAACAGAGGGGTTGAGGGCCCTGCTCAATGAGCTTACATGCTAGAGGGAATGGGGTAAAATTACACAAAAAAGGTAAGGATAGTATTAGACTAGTGACAGTTGCAGAAGAGGAATCAGTCCGGAGCTATTAACAGTTTAATTGATACGCTTTTATGAAGAAGTGGGTTTTTAAAGATTTTTTGAAGGAGTGGAGACTGGGTGAGCATCTAACGGAGGAGGGAAGCGAGTTCCACAGGAACGGTGCAGCCCTGGAAAAGTCTTGAAGGCGAGCATCAGAGGTGGGAGTACGGACAGAAGATAGACGTAAGTCTTCAGCAGATCGTAAGGGCCTAGACGGGACATACTTGTGTATAAGGGAGGATAGATAGGTGGGAGCAGCATTATGTAGAGATTTGAAAGCAAGAACCAGAATTTTAAATTGAGTACTATATTTTATAGGAAGCCAATGTAGGGACTGACAGAAGGGTGAGGCATGGGGGGTGCGGGCGGACAGGAAGATGAGCCTCGCCGCCGCATTCATTATGGACTGTAACGTCGCAAGTTGGGAGCACGTAAGACCACTGTGAAGCAGATTACAGTTAGTTTAGGGATTGCTGTTTAGTCTGTTTTAGTAAAAAAAAAGTATAAAAAAAAATGTGTGTGTTTGTAATTTGTTTTAGTCGTGTGTAAAACATGCAGCGTATGTATAACTTGCAGGAGGCATATGCCTTCTTGGCTTCAGACTCTGACTCCACTGACACTGCTTCAGATTTTGACCCAGGTCAGTTTTCTGACACGTCTAGTCAAGACGACATGTCATCTGTGTGTGAGCCGGCTGAAGAAAGAAGCTGTGCTTCCTCTGCTACGCCAAATGTAGAGGAGTACTGGGTACCTCCACAGTTAGCTGAGCCCAACATCCCCCTTTTAGTGCCAACGCAGGCATTAATGTTAATGTGGATGGCTTCTCCCAAATGCAGTATGTAGAACTATTTTTAAGTGATACCATCTGGGAGGAGATTGCTTCCCAGACTAACTTGTATGTTACCCAATTTATTGATAACAATCCAGGTAGCTATAGAGTCAGGGAGCATGACTGGAATCCCACAGATGTCCCAGAGCTTAAAAAATTCTGGGCTCTTACAATACTCATGGGGATTATAAAGAAGCCATCGATTCGCTCATACCAGAGCACCAACCCAATAATGTCTAGTCCAGTATTCTCCCAAACCATGCCTAGAGACAGATATGAGTTACTGCTGAGATTTTTACATTTCAGTGACAATACCCTCTGTCACCCTAAAGATCACCCCCAATACGATAGGCTTCATAAAATACGCCCACTGCTAGACCATTTTCAGGACAAATTTTCGGATGTTTACACCCCCTAACAAAATTTATCCATAGATGAATCGCTAATGAAATACAAAGGGAGATTAGGGTTCAGACAATACATCCCCTCAAAGTGCTCTAGGTATGGCATAAAACTGTACAAACTGTGAGAGCGAAAGTGGATACACGTTTGCCTTTCGTGTATATGAGGGGAAAGATGGTAAACTGGACCCTCCTGGCTGTCCTGACTCCCTGGGGACAAGTGGGAAACTTGTATGGGACCTACTAAACCCCTTGTTTAATAAAGGTTACCACCTTTATGTGGATAATTTTTATAGTAGTGTCCGTCTGTTTAAAACACTTTATGGTTTACAGACACTGGCCTGCGGCACTTCCAGAAAAAATTCCAAAGACTTTCCACGATCTCTCATAAAGGCAAAATTTAAAAAAAGGCGAAGTGCTTGCACTAAAATTTAGGGACAGGAAGGATTGTCAACATGCTAACCACCATCCATGACAAACGCATGTCAGACGTCTCTGTCTGGGGCAGAGTAGAGTCCAAATCGGTTTGCATCAGAGCGTATAATAAGTTTATGAGGGGTGTTAATTTGGCTGGTCAGCTGATGCAGCCATATCTTATTTTACGAAAAACCAAAGCATGGTATAAAAAGGTGGCTATCTATCTGATGCAAATAGCAACCCACAGATCATTTTTGCTTTTTAGAAAAAAATAATCCAGGGAAAACCACCTTTCTCCTTTCAGTTGAAAATAATTTCTTTAACAATTTATGGAGATGGACAAGTTCCAAGAACGGTGCAAGCTGAGTCCAGGCGTTTTATTTTTAAGTTACCACCAACTGCTAGAAACCCCCAGAAACATTGCCGGGTCTATTTTAAAAATGTGAAAAGGACAGACACCCCTTTTCACTGTCCTGATTGCCCTTCGAAACCAGGACTGTTTGTAGGAACATGTTTCAAGCTGTACCACACAGAATAGCTGTAAGAAGTGTTCCTGAATTTTTATTTTATTTTTTGTTTCTTTGGAAAGCAGCCATTGTTTGTTAGTCAGTTTCCTTCCCCCAAATCTCCAGTTAGATTCTGTTTGCAGGAGTCAGTTTAAATATTGCTGCTAAATGTACATTTGCTACCTGCACGTTTGGTCTAACAAGTTTTCTGGCAGTAACACATAACCAGCTGGCCAAAACCAGATGAGGTGTGCATAAAAACCAGAATTTAAAAATTACCACTACACTTTCTCTGTTTTTTGGGGGGGCAAAATGGTTGGGGGAAAGAAGTCAAAACACCCCATCTTCTATAACCTTTGATGGCTACTTTATAAAAATATATACTAAATATACTTTCATGATGGTAACATTAACTGGGGGGTGCAAAAATATGTCAAACTGAAGATAGACCAAGCATACCTATATATCAAGTTGAAAAACTGACATGTATAAGTTCTGATTGTTGCCTTTTGGCCCCCAAACAACCCAACACACCTATACATGGGGGGTATACTTGTACTCGGTAGATGTTGCTGAACACATATTGGGGTGTTGTTTGGCAGTGACACATAAGAGGATCTGTTAATTCATGCCTAAAGTATAATGTGTGTGAAAAAAAAAACAGAAAAAAGTTTACTACCTCAATGTTTGACAAAGCCTGGTGGTAGAATTCAGTGCATGGAAAGTGTTAAAATACCACCATGTGAAATACCCTAGGATGTCTACTTTTCAGAAATATATGGTTTAATGGGGGTAAAATACATTGGCCGGCTTCAAAAATGTCCCAAATAGGACATGCATTCAGGTTGACTACATGTCAAAATTCCAAGCTGGGAAACTGATATGTGCACCTGTAAAATGTGGCCTTTTAGCCCCCAAACAACCCAGCACACCCATACATGGGGGTTACCCTGTACTCGGGAGATGTAGCTGAACACATATTGGGGTGTTGTTCGGCAGTGACACATAACAGGATCTGTGAATTTATACCTGAATTGCAATGTATGTGAAAAAAATAATAAAAAATAAACTACCTATGCAAAAGTTTGGCAAAGGTTTGTGGTAAAATGGCTGCATAGAAAGTATCAAAATATTCTTAGATGAATACCCTGGGTTATCTAGTTTAAGAAAAATATATACATGTGGGGTGTTTTTTGGAGATTTATGACATAACAGTGTTACAATGTCACTATTGATACATTTGAAAAATGTACATTTTGAAACAGCAATTTCCTACTTGTACTTATAGCCCTATAACTTGCAAATAAAAGCAAAAAAAAAAAAAAAATTAAACATTGGGTGTTTTTAAACTCAGGACAATATTTTGAACCTATTTAGCAGCTTGTTTCATTCGATTTTGTAGATCAGTAAAAGATTTTTTAAGTAGAAGTCAAAAAACATTTTTTTTTATTTTTCACCGTATTTTATTATTTTTTTAAAATTAAATTATATGACATGATAAAAATAATAGTATGTAAAAAAAAGCCCTTTTTGTCCTGAAAAAACCAATATATAATTTATATCGGAACAGTAAATGAGAGAGCAGAAAATTACAGCTAAACACAAACACCACAAAAGTGTTAAAATAGCTCTGGTCCTTAACGTACAAACATCGCAAAAACAGTCTGGTCCTGAAGGGGTTAACAGTGAATAAGGAATGGGGCTGAACCAAGATCTAAAGAGACACTATAGTCACTAGAACAACTAAAGCTTAATGTAGTTGTTCTGGTGAGTATAATCATTTCCTGTAGGTATTTTCTAGTAAGCACTGCCTTTTCTCTGACACCAAGGGACACCTCCAATGGCACTTCACAGTATGCAGCACTGCCATTCAGCATCTTCACTCTCTGCATGGAGACGCTGAACTTTCCACATAGAGATGCATAGGTTCAATGCATCTCTATGAGCAGGTGCTGCTTGGCAAAGCCCGTGTTTGGCTCCACTGATTAAAGCCTATGGGAAAGCATTGGATAGGCTTAAATAATAAATTCTGATTATGTCAGCAAGATTTAAATAAAGGCAAGTGGCATTATAATCATTAGGGCATTATAATCATTAAGATACAATAATGAAAGGAAAACTAAACAAATAAAAAACAACAACAACATGACAGAGCTGATTTATTGTCCTTTCTGCCTGCTACAATGAGATAATTTTTCCCCGTAAGCATTCCCTTGGGATGATTAGCAGAGTCAATGATTTGCTAGAACCTGGCAAATTGAAATGATTCTCTTCACCTTAAAGTGACACTTCACAAAAAGTACCAATAACTGTTTAGTAGATATACCCCCATGGATAAATACATGCATTTTTAATGAATGTACTTATTGGGTGTATATTTAAAAAGAGCTTTCAGGGGGACGGGGCCTGACCAGCATGGCAGTCAGATGTGCAGATTGAGTGCTCTTCATAAATCTCATGTAAGACCCAATATTTTAGTGTGATTACACTCTCAAACCTTATTAAAGAGACCACATACTGGTTCCTGCATGAACTGGAGCTGTGATTCACAGGTTTGAAGTCTTATTATATCTCCTGTGTCTAAAATCAATTTTGCGGCCTACAAGCCTGACGCTCCCTCGGAGGGGAGAAACGGTCAATCTACCAGCTGAGATATACAGGTGCCGAAGCTTTTGCAAGCAGTTGCCCTGTTAGCCCCCCTCTGGACAGGTGGGGGTTATCCTGGTCCCTGCTGGGATTGCTGACCCTGAATCCATATATTCTGTCTTCTATGACTGCTGTGTCACAACCCATGCTGTATAGCACAGGCCCTGAGAGACTGGATTGGCAGGAACGTCTGGAGGTCAGGTTTTAAACCTTGCTCTAAGACCTCTGGCTACGTGTTACCAGCCGACCGCATAATCAGATGTCGCCTGCTCAGGCCCCCAACTGAAGGTGGGACCGCAGCCAGGCCACACTAAGGCAAACAGCAGAAGTGCACCTATTACCATGCTCTGCGACAGCGAGACAAATCTATCGAGCTCCACCTGCTCCCCAAGGCACGATGCTCACACAGTCGAGGCGGCAACTGAAGGAGAGACCAAAGAGAGTGCCTCACTTCAAGAGGAACAAC